CTTTGTAATTGGAATTGAAATTATCATTTATAAATCCTCTGCTCTGCTAACAGTTAAAGGTCATTAATGTATGGTGGACAGCATTTCTTATCTGAAGGGATGAAGCCACCTCACCAATTTATAAAAGGGAATTGCAGAACAAAGGGTTGAAAACGCTCTTTAATTGGGTTATTCGATAAAGTGACTGATGCTCTTCCACGCGCAAAGGTCCAATTGACTACAGGTTAAATTTGCACGGAGCTTTCGAAATTAATCTATAATTGGTGGGTTACCGGAGCAGTAAATGAGAGCTTTTCAATTTCGGCGATGACTAAACACAGAGTTACGGCTGAACAAATGTTGTAAGCAGATACAAATTGCGCTGTTTGTTTAACTTCAATCACCACGATGCGCTTGGTCGTAATCATCGAAACTAAAATTAAAAATGCCAACAATGGAGCTTTGGTATTGATGTTGTCTGTTCCGGAAATAGCAGCCCCTATTTACACTGACCCATTATAACTCTAAAGCATTTTAGCGTATCGTAAAAAGTATACCATCCAAATTTGGACTTTAACAATTTAAGTTCTGTAGCTTTACACCGGCCCCCCACTTTTTGAATTTTCAAAATATGTTCATTGCAATCGTTTGTTGGTGTGTTTTAGTTAAATTTTTACGTTTGTTTTCAAAATTCAAAATTTGGACGTATAATTAGCCCCCCACTTTTTGAGTTTTTAATTTACCCTTATTTCAATCGTTTGTTGCTCGTTTGTTGGTGTTTGTTAGTTACATTTTTACGTTTCTCGGTTGACCGTTATTTAATTTTTCAGAATTCAAAAATTTGGGCGTATAGTTAGCCTCGCCACCTTTGAATTTTATAAATATCTGCATTTCAATCGTTTGTTGAGGGTCGGTTGGTGTACTGTACAAATTTTTGAATAATTAAATTATGATCAAATAACAAACGTGAAAATGTAACTAACAAACACCAACAAACGAACAACAAACGATTGCAATAAAAATATTTTGAAAATTCAAAAATTGGAGGGTTAATTGTACGCCTAAATTTTGAAATTTGATTTAAATAACGATCAACCAACAAACGTGAAAAAACAAACACCCACAAACCATTGCAATAAAAATATTCTGGAAATTGAAAAAGTGGGGGGCCAACTATACGCCCAAATTTTTGAATTTTGAATAATTAAGTAACGATCAACCAACGATCAATCAACAAATTAACAAACACCAACAAATCAACGATGGATACAATTTAAAAAACCAACAAATGACCAACAAACTATTGAAATAAATATATTTTGAAAATTCAAAAAGCGAGGGGGGCTAATTATACGGCCAAATTTTGATATTTGAATAATTTAAAAACGATCAACCAACAAACGTGAAAATCTAACTAACAAACGAATACAATAGAAATATTTTGAAAATTCAAAAAGTGGGGGGTTAACTTGACGCCGATGCTGATTACAGTAGTACAATAAATAGCGTATATACCACAGGACTAAAGTGCGGCCAACAATCTGCACTCTCGAGTTTAAAGCATACGCTTTAGTCACTTGATATACAGGGTCCTGCAACAATGCATCGGTTGTTCCTAGCTCATGCATCCTACGGGATTCAATATTTTTCAAAAAAGTACCTACCCAATAGTTCACATGTTTATATACTGGAGTGGGCTGTGATAATAAAAAAAAACAAAAGAAAGCCATAAAGTAAACAATTGTCACAAATTAAGCTGTCCCTATTTCGTAGTAAAACAAGATTACCTAAAGAAAACTAGGCCACCCCTTATAAAATTGAAGAAAACTAAAAGACTATCCAATAGCGCAATAAAATAGTGGTACTTCCATTTAAAAAAAATAGTTTTGACACTTTGAGGTTTGGAAACTATACCGTTTCCTTATGAACACCCTGTATCACTAAATCCGACTTTCTCATTATCAAGATATTCAGATTAACATTATTGGTCAAATGTATTGTTTAATTTCAAAATTAAAGTAGGTACGATTCATGAAAGTGAGTCTTGCGTATGGGGAATTAGACGAACAAAATGGCAACTTTGATTTGTCAAAAAAAAAGTGAATCGGTTTCATGATAGATAGTAGTACATTGTGTTTAAAGTCTGCATTTTTACAGGCGTCATTTTCGTAAATTGTACATCTTACAATTGATATTAATTAACACATGTAGAGGCTAACAAATGACATTGAAACTTGTGAAAATATACAGGATGTTCTAATTAAAAAAAGATAAAATAGGACACCTTGTATAATCAAAAATAATTTCTGTAGATGCGCAACCATTGATAGTTGACAATTAACTTGACAAGAGCTACGATTATGAAATTAATAAAAATGGTTAGTGAGTACCTTAATTTAGAGTTTTCAACAAAAAAATTGCGGAAGAAGCCCGTAATAAAAAGTTCACTTACCTACTTTTATAGAAATGTGAGGTTATGTTACTTCATATTTCCTCATTCGTAATAGAATATTATCCTTAAGTTGGCAAAACTGAAGAACTTGGCAATTTTCAGAAGTGACAACTTAATTATTTGCAAATATGTTAACTTCTTCAACTACTAAATTAAAGTATCCCGGGTTTACCGTGTATATTAACAGTTAATGTAATAACCACCTTGTATATCGTTTGCGTTAGTTCTTTGTAGTTATTTAGTTTTTATTTAGTTACGTAACCCTTCATATATTATCTCTATCTTTTATATCTATTGTAGTTATATATCTCATAGTTGTTTGTCTCACTTACGCACTGCTCTCCACGTTTCATTTTTCTTATATGTATTAATGTGTTTTTTTTCTCTTTGTTATATAATGGGCAACCGTAAATAAATAAATACATAAATAAATAAATAAAAGTAACGTGGAGATTTTTCAGTTTTTTCCTACCTTCTTCTACAGTTTTGGTCCGAGTTACCTTCCACCACGGATATATTTAATATTACTTTAAACGAACTGCTACAATTCGTTGAATGAAATTTAGTTGTATCAGAGTTGAATTTTTAGATTTGTTTGTTTTTTTTTTGTTTTTTTTTTCTTGAATAGTTAACGGCTCGCAATAACTTAAGACTTCTTTTTTAGATATTGTCCTGTTATAGAGTATTTACTTGTTTGGACAATAAATATTATTATTATTAAAAGTAGTATAATAGATATTAGTATAATACACAATACAATTTTAGGTTTAATTCGACTTATACACAAAATAAGCGACACTTTCATGTCGAATGTGGATTCACTTTTAAAACCACTTTTGAAAGCGCGTACAATTTAAACTTGAATGCCTTAGAAAAGAAAAACGTCGCAGAGAGGGTTACATTTTTCCTTTTCCGTATAAATTCCCGTATACACCCGAGAGGGGAAGGGACACCTCTCGCATCTTCCATGGGTCACCTTTTTCGCATCGACCACCTTTTCGGTATCGACCGCCTGTTTCGTATCGACCGCTGTATACACCCGAGGGGAGAAGCACCTTCTGACATTCTTGACAGAACAGTTTACCAGCTAAAACCAGAAATCGTGTAGGAAAAAAAACGTGAATGACGGACGGATGGAATAATTATTTTTCGTTACTTCTGAAGCGAAAATACACGCTTTGCAATTTTGTTTAGAAATCCATCCTTTTGAGGCAACTTTTCTTGTAATAGTCCCGACAGTTAATCACGTTTCGTTGTTGTTTTTCGCAAGCGAGTTATTTCTCGTTTCCTTCTGGGGTAAGAATATACACATTGCGCTATTAAATATTCAAACCCTTATAACAGCTTTTCTGGTAACAGTCTTGACGGTTAATTAATCTTGGTTTTCGTTTGGTAACAGGTCAATATCTATTAGAAAACTTATTTCTCGCTTTTTTAGGGGCAAGTACATCCAACGCCGTAATGGTATGACAGTTAATCAGTTTTCGTTTTTGTTTTCTACAAGTTGAATCTATTATTACCCCATTCTGCCTCCAGCGAAGCATGTAATGGCACATAATAATTAACTTACATACGGCGTAAGCTTCCCTCCACAATATTCCCTCATACAATGACGGAATGCACAAGTTTCAAAGTACACAACAGTGTGTTAGAAATTGCTCGCGTGCAATGTTTGTAAAGGTCTTATTGCCCCATTCGCCCGTATCCCGCAATTGAAAGCTATACAGCTTTCGCCCATTATCTTCATGCCACAACTGCCACTTTTTTTATTAAGTTTTTTAACGGTAAAGCTTTTAATTCGCTCCTTTCAGTCACGTAACATTATTAGCTGAGCATCATAGAGAAAAGCGCGTCCATTTTAAATTTCTTTCCCGTAATCCGATTTCTCAAATTTCCATTTTCTAAGCGGCAAATGGGCGAATTGGCCGGAGCGAAAGACTCTCGTCGGTTATTTAGTCAGTTAAAGCCGGAGAAATCGAAATGTTGAGATGTCAAGTCAGTTTGCTTCCGTCTGCGTAATGGTAATGGATTTCGGTAATTATTCCCCACTAATTACAAGCAATATTGGGGTTTGTCGTGTCGCTAAGTAATTAAAATGGGGGGTATACAGGTCTAATTATATTGAAGTAGTAGCTCAGGAGCCGGCACAAACGTTCGTTGGCCTAAACATGGGCCGGAAATGTACCACAACCTACCACTTTGTAGTTCAGGAGGTGGTTGCTGATACGTCAAGGGTCAATGTAAAAATTGGAGTAAGACGAGAAACAAAACTACTAAAACTTTTAACGGAGCAGTCCTAAATGAATACGAGCGGCAATAAGATCTCATTAACAAACTTCTCAGTTAATCTCCACGTGTATCTTGTTACGAAGCTTACTCTTGCAGCCGCAAGCTTTCACGTTACATGTACAAATGGTTGCGTGAATTTTCCTATTGCGGATTAACTTCGCCAAAGTCGTACGTGTCGACGCTTTAACTTTTGAAATAAATCCAAACGCTCTTTTTACCTCTATTTTAGCGAAGGACATTTTCCAGTTTCAAGTTGCTGAAGCAGTGTCTTTTTTTGCAGATGATGGAGACCTCGTTAAATTAGTGCGAGGTAGTTGTAATGTTGGACGTGGAGTGGACGTAATATATTTGCAATTGGTAAGTTTAATTTGTACGCTAGAGATAATTCCAACCCTATCGTAGAGTTTGTCGTAGCTAGCAGCTTCATTAAATGTGTCTCTTCGTTATAAGTCACCATCCGGAATTTCTCAGGTATGGCTAATTAAAATAAATGAAAAGGTGTAGAAAGGCGAGACCATGCAAAACCTTCTGATTGACGTCCGAAGCCTAGTGGGACGCTTACTTTAAAAGAGACGAAGTCAATTTCAGTAGAAACCGAAGTTATTTATGTGGGATACCAAGACAAAGGCAATTGAATAGTTCCCTTTTTGTTTTCATTCGGTTATTACAACGTACATTTACCGCATAGTAACTGAATACTTCACATTTAAACTTTCCCCCGGTGCTTTACACTTCAGATTTTTTAATTTGTTAAATTTGGTTATTCGTTTTCTTTAATTCTTGTACCATTTCACTACTTGAATTGTTTATGATACTTATGACTTCACGTATTAGACTTTCTTATCAATAAATATAATACAAAATTTAGTTCATGCAAATAATTCCAGCGGGTCGATTCCTTTAGGAATATTAAAATTACTTTAGACAAAATTAATATGCAAATTTTTACTAATAACCGACCACTACTTTACCTAAGTCAAAAAAATTAAGATGACTACAGTAATTCACGTGGGTAATGTTCTCTTCTGGTGATAATTGATTTTTGTAATGTAAATTATATAAATAGAAAATAGGAAAACAAAAATGTTACAAGCATTGTTTTGCAAAGGAAGCTACTAAGCAATAATGTAATGCAATGTGGAAACAATAACACTCAGAAATAAATGTCAAAGTTAGAAAATCAAAAAGCAAAGCGGTTATTTTGATTTTGTTTAAATTTTGACAGTGTACATTAGGCATAAAAGATGTAACACTGTCAAAAACATTTTTTTAAATCACCAGGTTTGAGCGGGGAAACTGTACTGTCAAGAATTTCGCATCTGGTTTTTTAATGGAATAGTAAATTAGTAGGGTTTTGAGATCTTTGTATAATCTTACAGGAGTGTGGAGATTCTCTAAGAAGAATGCAGTTTGGTTTGCCGGCGAGATTGCGCGAATGGGTTTTAAGCTGGACTACTCCCAACAGTGTCCAATTTCGAATTAGAATCCTGGCATAAAAAATTACTGCAGAACAAAAATTTTCCAGAATTTACCCCAAACGTCTTGAGGGATCTCTAAGGATCTTGTGACGATCTCTAAAGAATTACCGAAAAATGCGAAATGACCTAATTCTCAGGGCCTGTTCAGTTACAATAATTTTTTGCAACATTGAAATTTCAAGTAAATTTCGTAACTTCTGCTAAATGTTAATAAAAATTAATTTATACTCCAAACTAAATAAAAGAATTTCAGTTCAACGAATTCAATAAACAATTTAACTTGCAGGTTAAATAATCATGTACTCAATCTTACTTTAATGTTGTACAGGATAAAATTTTCAGTTGTTAATGGAACTTCTCGCTATTGGATATTCCACTCGTACAAGCAATAGTCAGCGTCAAGGGTCAAGTTTCAATATCTTTAGGGAACCATTACCGTATCCTTCAGGAAATACTTCCCTGTGGATGTTTCCATTTAGGAACGTCGTTTGTTGTACTTCGACAAGTAGTTTTTGTGAAATCCCTCGCCTTAAGTGCGAATCCAGCACTTTAATTTGCATAACAAATTTGATATTTAGTCATTTAGGTTCCGACTAACAGCATTAATGCAAATTAAATTGACGACCTAAAAGCAAAATCACTTAAAGTGCTTAACCCTTTTACGAACGATTACTCCCTTTTGCGTTAAAACACCTAAGAACGTGTGTCGCTGAATAATATAATAAATGCAAATGAATTAATTTGAAGCATCCCTACGCCACTTTAGGGAAACGTTAAAGAAAAAGCAATTTTCTTCGTACAAGTCTTAATTGTGGCCAGTGATACATAACAATTTCTGTCAAGCTCTATGAACAAACCCATTCAATAAGCGTCTAAGGGAAATTTACATCTCTTTGAGGTTTACTGTACGGAGTTTAACACTAAAGGCTCTATTTTAACCGCTCTACGCGCTCTAATTACAGTATTGTGTATTATAGTTCTCTGATATATCAACAAGTTCATCGTATTCAGAGGCGGATCATATAATATAATTAGCTCGCCGAGGCTGAGACTTCGCTGTTCATTTTGTGTTGACTGATCTTAATTGCGATTAATTACTTACGTTCGACAGAATACAAAGACGTATCGATTATACCGAGGCCTACGATACTTACAGGCCGGAGCGCTCCAAAAAGTCACGTGACGTTAGGAGTCATATGAAATACATTACGGCTTATGGAAAATCCGTGCGCGGCTCCACTATTTATTTTTTACTCCGGATCCGTTCAACACAATCAAATTATGGTGTTCGTTAATTTTTAATAACATTAAATAATTAATTTTTAGGTTTAAAGTATTGAAGATAAAACGATGTTAGTAAATCCGCGTGTTTCTATCTTTACATCATCATATTTCTTTTTCTCGGAACTATATCATTATAATCCTTTCGGTGTCTTAAACTAGAATGATATGCGCCTCCAATTATGCGTATATAATGCCTTATGTGGTATTAATATAGTTTTAACAGGCCCTACAAAATCGCGCATTTATTATCCGCGCAGAGAAAAATTCACCATGCGAGAAACTTTTTTGTTATTGCTATAATTGTAACACATATATCGAATGAATTGTGGCCAAAGGACACAAAAATGTTCTTCAGAAGGAATTTTTAAGAAATGGTCTCTTGTTTCCTTTTTTTCAGCAGCTGAAGTAAATAGCGCAGCGCGATTTTAAGAATAAGTGAACGCGCAAAGGAATTATGTTTCAAATAATTGTTAGTCATCGATTTTCAAATTGTGTTTGTGAGATTCAAATTTACATTAAACTTATAAAATTAAAGATATTATCAGTCAAAAGTATGGAGTATACCTTATATCTTCGTTAATATGAATTTTGCAGTACATAAAGTATTTTAGTTATACCTACTCGTGTGAAAGTGAAACGGGAAATTTGTCTTGTCCGCCTATGAGGCCTGGTAAGTATCGTAGGCTTTCATCTTCATTCTATGAATAAATAAAAATAACCTTTTGAATAAGGAAGTTTTAAAAAATAACTTTTTCTATCCAACTTACAGCAGTTTTAGTAAAAAGTACAGCTTGTAAGGAATATGCAGTGCCGGACTGACCCAGGCCGCTAGATTAGATTTCAATAAACACTACAAATATAAAATTAATAATATATTTTAAGAATATAGACACAGTCATATTTTAAAATCCAACAATCAACTCTTAATTTAATATAAAACTGCCTATTTGACTGACATCAGTTTTTTCAATTTTTTGTTGTCGTAGTCTGGTCCCTTAAATTGTTATTCTTACATTTTGAATAATTATTTAGTAGTATGTTGGCGAATTTTTGCAAACTTTTTGAAATGTAGTATTTAAAACTATTCTGACATTGGTCTCAAATTTCATCATCTACTTCTAAATTCTTCTAACATATTTTTATTAATAATAATTTTTGGTTACCGCATGACAAAAAATCTTTTTCGTATCTTTCAGAAATAAGTTGTTTAAAAATATTATAGGCTATTATTAAAAAATTCAGGAAACTATCAGTGGGATATCTCAAAGCACCTCTATCTAAACATCTTATGCATTCTAATTCCAATGTTGTACTGGAATCATCAATTTCCAGTGGTCTTTCAGTAGCAAATTAACTTTGACACCTAGAACAGGTGCAATATCTTCCAAACAGTTTTTGTATGATATATCCTCCAATAAATATGAGTACCTTGACATCGTTTTCAGAAGTAACTATTTTGTCGTTTTCTAAATATTAGAATATTTCAATACTTATATTTAACATCGCCTCATCTTCTGCTAAATTACACGACGAAACAAAATCTTTGATGCAAAAACTCCTCTTGAATGCGACTTTAAGCGCAATAAGCTTAATATTTTTAATTTTATAAGTTTAATGTAAATTTAAATCTCACAAACATAATTTGAAAATCGATTACTAACAATTATTTGAAACATAATAATTCCTTTACGCGTTCACTTATTCTTAAAATCGCGCTATTGACTTCAGCTGCTGAAAAAAAGGAAACAAGAGACCATTTCTTAAAATTTCTGAAGAACATTTTTGTGTCCTTTGGCCACAATTCATTCGATATATGTGATACAATTATCGCAGTAACAAAAAAGTTTCTCGCATGGTGAATTTTTCTCTGCGCGGATAATAAATGCGCGATTTTGTAGGGTCTGTTAAAACTATACTAATACCAGATAAGGCACTATATAGGCATAATTGGAGGCGCATATCATTCTAGTTTAAGGCACCGAAAGGATTATTGTCATATAGTTCCTAGAAAAAGAAATATGATGATGTAAAGATAGAAAAACGCGGATTTACTAACATCGTTTTATTTTCAATACTTTAAACCTAAAAATTAATTATTTTTAGTGTTATTAAAAATTAACGAACACCATAATTTAATTGTGTGTACTATTGAGAAGCTCTCATTGAAATTTCGTGGCTGTATGTTGAACGGATCCGGAGTAAAAAAATAAATAGTGGAGCCGCGCACGGATTTTCCATAAGNATTTATATAACAAGAGCGCGAAGTTCAATTTCGCGCATTGAGACTGAAGGTATTTTGACGAGGCGAAGCCGAGTTAAAATATCAGTCAAATGCGCGAAATAATTTCGCGCTAGCGTTATATACAATATTTTTTTCTACAACTGAACCGATTGTTAATTAAATTGCTGTTTAAGTTCAACTTTGTCCCGTGCGCGAAATACTTTTTTTCACTGTTGACGATTTCGCGCACGTTGTCAAGAGCAACCTTACTTATTAATTAACCGTTTAAAAATCTAGTACTTCGCGTTTCGAAATTCGTCAGAAAATGACAGGTTTTTTTGACAGTTGTAGAAAAAATATATTTTATAAGAAGT